CGCTTCATTGCGAGAAAATATGGTTAGGTTTTGTGGCGGGCGGAGTTTTTGCATTATATTAGACGTTTTCTCTAGTCTGAGAATTCCTTTTATGTTGATTTTATCGAGCTCTACGGGCCTTTCAAACTTTTGGTCACATGATTCCTATCTGAACAAGCAATATCGCTTCAACTTCTTCAGCACTTCTGTACGCACTATTTTCACAATGGGTCGAGTGCGCTGTAGTGGGTGGTGCACATGGATTGCCCAGTCATCGAGCCCTGCATCGATTATCGTCCAGACTAACCAGGCATTCCTTCGTCCCGAGGTCCTTATTTGGGATCAGACCCGTCTAGGTGGACAAAAGCATTGACTTATATATTGGCTTGTCACCGCGAGTCATTGTATAAACCAGATACTCATTTTGAACGACCGACACTATGTAAAAGAAAGCGAACGCGGGGGCGCCTCCCGAAGGCCGGATCGATCAATGCGAAGACACGAGTTTTCCGATTATTTATATTTACGGTGGAATTGCTGAGCGATAAACACCGGATACCCTCCAATAGCTGGTTGCAACACAGGAGAAAATAACATTTTATTGCGAATAATAGCGAACAGTGTGAATACAGGACAGCGTGCTGACGACGGCAAGGCGGCTTGTCCCAAGAGAGATGATCACGCAGCTGGTGCCGACTTGCTGAGCGGCAGCTGCGACGGCGAGTTCCCTGTCGTCTCGTGTCTATATGCGGTCACGAGGAAGCCTGTGCATATCATTGGAGCACGCGGACGTTTCTGCGCAAGATAGAGTTGTAGCTAGATGGTAAATATCGCCTATCGATCGGTTGGAAAAGACCCAAGGCTTACACTATGCAGACTCTGGCCTCAAAAGACCTGAAGTAAGTAGGTAATGTAGTGCGATTGCTTTCTGCATACACCCACTCATCCTCCGTTACTCCTTGCCTTTCCGTTGATAGCCAATCAGGGCAGTTCTTGGTAGTTTTAACGTGCTATCGATAGTGCGTCGCGGCACCGGACGGCCAAGCATGACACTGCTGATAGTGGACCAAAAAACATTAAACTATCCAGTCCGCTTTACCGCCAGATGTTGATTCTTGTTGCCGTCGAGGATGTGATCCTCACCTAATGCGAGATAGCTGCTAACCTCAGCTTTTGTGTATACACTCTTGACCTTACAAGAAACGTCTTGGTTTCCAACATTACGCGCATCGCATATGTTCGTGGAGTGATAAAATTCATCGTACTAGGAGACATACAGAAAAAAATGGAAGCCATATTGCATGCTCAGATAGGAACGATGTCACCAAAAGCTCAAAAAGTTAGTAGAACGCGATAAAAGCAACATAGATGGAGTTTCTATGATGCGAGGGAAAAATCTCATATATTGCGAAAATTCTGCCCCCGCAAGACCCAAACCAGTCTTTCGCACATAAAGCGTCATCCTTACCACTGCTCTAAGCCACCGCTGATGGAGCTTTTACATCCATGTAATTTAAGTTCACTTATGTTAGGCTTCACCTGAAACTACCTAATAACTCCACCCAGAATTTGCAAAACAGATTTAAGATCTGCATAGGACAATACGTCTAGCAATAAGGGTCTCATTTTTGACGGCCACTTCGATTTGGGATCCTTACCTGGTAATTTCTGAAGGCCCTGGAACGTTAGCTTTGGTGGGATTATCCGTGGCTGTATCATTATTCAACTCAGTGAGTGTATATGTCTTCTGCGTTGGATGGAATGACCCTGCAGTTCATGGCCGTTTAAGAAAAGCAAGAATCAAAGGGAAATTGTACTCTCGTTCAGACAAAGATATTTCGGCTTCAAGTTCCCGATCGAAGGTTCTAAAGGAATACTTTGAGAAGATCTCGTCAACATAACATCCGTCTCGACATGACCCTATCGTCGCTCAGTCAGTGGGCTGGAATAAGCCATTATAGCTTAACGGGGCACATTGTGAAATTCAGATGGATTACGTGTGATACCTACTCTTTAGATAAAAGTGGGTGAAGCAGCGAGAACGTTGCGTTTGAACCAGTTCCAAAGCATGGGCGGATCAGATTCGCCTTAGAGGAAAACTATGACACATCTTTCCGAAGTATATGCCTGAAATTTCTTTTTTCACAAGTATCTTTTCAAATTTCGGTTTTTATGTTGAACTCAAGTGTGATTAGTAGCTTAGTTACAAAGTCAGTAAGGCCTTTCAATAGAAATCAGTCGTCACTAGGTGTTCTTTGTTTCAAAGCAAGTTCCATGAGTTGATAGGTCATACATCCTGATAGCTTTTGAGGAATACAAATCGATGCTTCTACACGCATCCATGGTCGCAATTATAAGTTTATCGATTATGCATGGAGACTACAGACTCCGTGTGATAATTGTAAACCCTTTACACATCTAAGGGCCACGAGTTTTCATGGGATTGAGATCAAGTGTACATGCGGTCCACTGCATAACGACGATTCTGTGCTGTGATTCGGAACCAAATCAAAGTTGACCTACAGGGGTGGACGCTTGCATAATCCTTTTAAAAAACAGCTTCTGCCCTCGCCACGGTCAATGAAAGGCAATGGCTGCTTTCAT